AATAAAGCTCTTTATAATATGATGGTCCATATAGGCATTATGGTCCTTAGGGACCATCACTACTCTTATTCCCTTTTACCGTTCACCTTTTCCTTTCAATTGGCATGTCCTTTAGTTGACGTGGGTTTTAAACATTACACAATTAATATTAGTACTACACCTCATGTATGAGGTGGAGTTTAATAAAGTAATATAATAATAAGTTTTAAGAAGTTAAATAGAAAGAGGGTAAGGACTCTCGCCTTACATAACTTTCTTTCTAGCTCTCCTTCTTACAAACACAATGAACTTCTTCTTTCTCTAGCCGAATTTTATCGAAAGTTCCCTATCAAATATTATAGGTAAGTGACCTCATTGTTTTGAAAAATAATATATTTAGTAAACTTGTGATATTTTATCTATTGTTAGGAATTTTAAATGCTGTAAATTATTAGAAATAAATTTTTAATTTTTCTGCCTATTGTTCAGAATTTTAAATACTGTAAATTATTAGAAATAGATATGATATTTCAGCGTTTAGTAAAATTATGAGATTTCCTTCTACTGTTTTTGAATATTTAGACATTGTAAAATTCATATGCAAATGTTTGCCTCATTATTTGAAAACCTGATATTTTTGCACTTGATTGTAGTATTGCCTATGAAATGATTATTTACAAATTGGCAATTTCATAAATTGTGATAATTCCGTATTTAATTTTTTATTATCATAAAAGTTCGTCTATTGATACTAGACTGTTATCATGTTAGATTTCAAGAATGTTCTTCAGAACTGTTACCTTTCAGAAATTATTGCATAAAGTGTTTAAATGGCTACTTCGAGATATTTCAATAGAAGTGATTGCTATTAAATTGCTTCAAGTGAATTAATGTTAATGTTTTCAATGATACTTCGCATATATGATATTGTTGTTTCTGATGTTTAAAGAGTTTCAGATATAATTTTGACTATAAGTGGACATGCAGTGATCGTTAGGACCTATCCAATTATGTCGGTAGGGACTATTTGGACTCATCCGGGACACCGGTGATGTATGATTCAACCTGCAGGGATTGTTAGGACCTATCCGATTACGTCGGTAGGGACTCTTTGAACTCATCTGAGACGCCGATGATGTATGTTTGGATATGCAGGGATTGTTTAGACCTATCCGATAGGGGCTATTTGGATTCATCTGGTACGTCAGTGATGTATGTTTAGACTTGCAGGGGTTGTTTGGACCCATCAGGACGCTGATGGGGTATATAGGTGACTTACTTGGGACGTCAGTAGGGTATTTTGTGAAATCATTTGAATTATGCATATTTGTTAAAATATTTATATGTATTTCCTTCATTTGGGTTATGTTCAACTGTGGATTTGTGAAAAGTGAGATTGTTATTCACAAATGCTTTTGCTCACAATTCTTCCTCAGGTGGTTTTTAATATACATTCTTTAGAAAATGTTTATATCTTCCAACAATGATTATTTTTAGCCAAACTCACCAAACTATGGTAAATATTTTTCAAGGTAATTGCAGTCTCATAGTTAAATGCACATCATGACTAGCTTGTGAAGAAGATATAGTCATGTCATAACTAAATTCTCCTTTGTATCTTTTGTTTAATTTCACCACTGTAAGTTTTTGTTCTATCAACTGGTGTATACCTAGACTTCATGTTAATATCAGTTGTGAGCAAACTTTGTACAAATTTTAATTAATAGAAAAATTTGTTTTGTTACAATATATATTAATAGGAATTTGAATTTGTTCCTAGTATAAGAATAGTCTGTCGCACCTCGGGAATGTTAGAAATCTTGGGGCGTGATAGTACCGATATAGTCCACTGAATAAATAATGTGGAAAGGACAAGGGTCTTAACCTCATCACATTCATTCTTTGCGACATACACATGACTTCCTTGCCTTTGATTATGAAGCTTCCTGGTATGTTTGGTCCCCAAAAACATGCCCAACAGTCATAAAACCTCTAAACCATAGAACAAATGGACCAGATAATCACCAAGAGGGTTGGAGGATAATCCCTCAATCAAGGTCCACATGTGTGGTTCCATGGTCGTTATAAAGTCATGGCACATGTAGACTTTCTATAGAATATTGTTGTTCCTTATGTGAACTATCTATGGGCTATATGTAGGCCTTTTATGGACGTATTGTTACCCGGTCTGGTATGGCTTGCCTTAATTTTCCAATGGAAAAAGTCTTGACATTAGCCAATCCACAACATGTGCATATGATATATGCATTTTGGAAGCCAACTCTATCAGGATGATCATAGGAGACATACACATGTACTAGAGAAGGCCCCCATTTATGATGCTTGTATACTAATCCCTGGCGGTACACCTGCAATCTACTTTAATGCCAGAATCTAGACATCTATTGGTTAACTTTAAGGACTAAATATGAATCCTTGCTTAAAACCGTAGGTCATGGGTTCTATTAGGCTAATTTAAGAAAATAGTTGAGGGAGGGATAAGCCGAGTGGAGTGTCTAATATATTAACGTTTTTATTATTAAATGTACCTAATTTTGCTCCCAATATTCTTTTGGAAGTCCAAACCAAATCAAAATGATAAAACAAACCTAATAGATAGGTTTTCGATATTTTATAGAGTTTTATGGAAATTTTTAGAGACAAATGAGCTAAAAAAGTTGTTTCCAAAATTTTGAATAAGGACAAGTGGTTGTGCCTAGACACATGTGGGGCCATGGGTATGGTCCTCACTATTCTCACACGTGGATGACATCATGATGATATCACCAAGGTGGTATTATTTTTACAAGACCATGTTTGATAGCCCATATAAGTGTTTGTTGTTGATTGTGTTGTTTTAAATTACACGAGTGAATCTTGGTATATCTTCTAGAAGGGACATAGGGTTTAATATTTGGATTAAAACTTTACGTCTAATGGGAAATTAAAAAGCCTATTTGCGTGACACTTGTCCGACTCAGATTCACCCCATATGCATTCTATATATAAGAGAGAATCTCACCTTATCTCTCTCTTCCTCTCTCTCTCTTCAAGTAAATTGAGAGGGAAGAAAAACCTAAGGGATATGCTCCTCACAATTTAAATTCTCTCTCTAGATCAATAAAAGTAGAGATGGGAAAATTGGACTTTGTAAAATATTTGAATTTTGATTTTGAAAAATTGAATTCCATATCAAAAATAAAAATGGGAGGAAAATTTAGAATTGAAATTTGAATTTGGAGATAGTAGTGTTAATCTCATCCTTGGATGTTAGTTAATTTATTGATGGATGACTTAGATCAAAGCCTTTCTCACCCCTTAAATCTCTATGATCAATGATCCAAATAAATAATCAAATTAACCTTCAACGCACTCTTTACAAATCCTATAAATAAGGGTCCTCTCCTCCAATTTTATCGCCTAAACTCTATTGCAAAGTTATGATACCAAATTGGAGAGAGAGAGGTCCCCATAGAAAGGCACACCCCACCTAAAGAGAGAAAGAGAGTAGCTCAATGCCCTAGCCATGCCTCATGTCCATGAGCACCAAAGCTAAGCCATCACACTTTGTCCTTTTGCCCATGCATCCTATGGCTCAATGCCTCATTAATAGAGCTAAACTTCAACTTTTATGCTTCTGGTTACGACTAATTTGACTTACTTACAACAAGATAATTCATCTATTTAGAAGCCATTAAGTTCAATTTTATGAGTTACCACCATATCTAATTGCATGCTTATGCATGGTGCCTCATATGCGCAATTTAGCCTAGTTTTGCACCACGTAGTTCTTCAAAGCTCAATTTATGATAATGAAATAAGCCTCCATTTGAATGATTAATTGTATAATGGTTATGTTTTGATTGCTTCTCAGTTTAGAGGATTAGAAGGACCAATCACTTGTGCTATGGGTAAGGAGATATGGTATGGGATGTAGTTAAGTCTCAAGGAGTTGATCTCAAGCATTTCTTAATAGAATTGGCTTTCCCGTGGTTGATTGCATCTTAATTTGCAGGATGATGTCTTCGCTGTACAATTTGTTGAGTCATTGTAAAGTGAAAGGTTGTATTTGGGTCAAGAAACTGTAATCGTAAAGTGTTCGATGAAATATTCAATGAAAAGTGTTTCTAAGTATCAATGGCATTGTATTTCTGCAACGTTCACTGGATCAAATGAATGGAAATGTTTAGGGGGCTATATTGAGGGTTTTTTTTTGTCATTTTGAGTTGCAAATCAAGTTGGCCAGTGAATATATTAATTCATTATTAATGTAACTTTTATTTATATGCATATGCAAAAACCGTGTAAAAAGTCACTTGTATTGAAAATTTAAAGTATATGTAACAAAACTGTGGTCTCTATACCTAGCACAAATTTCATCCCAATCTAATATTCGAAAAAATAGCAATAGATGAATATAAGATCAACATTTCTAAACAAGCCCAATAGTCCATACTGTAGTTAATCTAGAATGCCATAATGTCATTTGTCTAATATTGATCGGATTGTTGATATTTGATACAAGTATTTGGCTTTTATCTTTTTTATAATAAGGTGAAAGTTGGGTGTCCATTATACTAGCCTTCATGCATTTGAAAAAAAAGTAAAATGATTAAAATACCCTTAAACCTTTGATGGGTGTGTTGATCATTTTAATTTGCTCCAATCATTTTTTATATATTTTTAAAGAGTAATGATCCTATAAGACCCTCCTCCACTTATGTGTGTAGGACCCTAAAGGATCACTATTAAATTTGACATGGATCTTTAAAAAAGTTATTACATGGGTGTGAGACTTGAGTTTTATAAAGATCCGTATCAAATTTAATGGTGATCATTGGAATCCTATACGTATGGATGGGGAAGGATTCGATAGGATCATTTCTCATTTTTATAATATGCTCTAAACCCTCCAATTTTTTTTTAGATTTGAATTTTATAAAACAATAAAAATAAAAAATGTCAAGGAAACAAATTTGAAAAGAAACAAATTTGAAAATGATATTGTAGTCCATCAACCATGTCCGTGCTTCGTTCTTTCATGGGGGCATGGAACTGCCTGTATCAACTCTTCAGGAAGTTGGAAGTCTCAAACATGCCTTCAGCTGCAGCACAATTCCTGTTATCAAACACGAAAGTGCAAAAACTTTATAGTTTTGGTTTCAAAACACAGAAGTTCCAAGATCAAAAAACACAGAAGTTCCAAGATCAAACACACCAGAAAGAACTACCGCACCTAGAGCTTATGGCTCGAAATCGACGTTTTCTGGAAGTTGGAAGTCTCAAACATGCCTTCAGCTGCAGCACAATTCCTGTTATCAAACACGAATGTGCTAAAAACTTAATAGTTTTGGTTTCGAAACACAGAAGTTCCAAAAATTAAAACACACTAGAAAGAACTACCGCACATAGAACTTATGGCTCGAAATCAACGTTTTCCGGAAGTTGGAAGTCTCAAACATGCCTTCAGCAGCACAATTCCTGTTATCAAACACGAAAGTGCTTAATTCCAAGAATTAAAACACACTAGAAAGAAGAACTACCGAACATAGAACTTATGGCTCGAAGAGCATGCTCCCAGAATTCTATGCCGCATTCGGCCTCATCTTCTTCTTGGTACTTCTTTAGATCAAAACTTCTCGCTCCTGTTGCGGTTTGTGGAAAATCCATATTGTTTAAATCTCCCTCCCTCTTCCCCTCCCTCTCCCTCTCTTTCTCTCTCTCGAAAATTAGGGTTCCCATGAAAATAAGTGGTTCCATCTCCGCTGATGAGACCTGTATTAAGCAGGAGGAGGGCTTGGTAGTCTCTACCCACTGTGGCAAACGTCAAAGGTTTTCAGTAGAGATCTCAGCTAACTTCCAAAGTTCAGACCAGGACTTCAATCAAGAGGTCGTGACTTCGAAACGCAAGAAGCACAGCCGAAGAGCTTCAAAAAAGAGGAGAAAAACTTATGAACCACAACAACGCAGATGGGTTTTCTCTTCCCATGATTTGTCTTCATATAGAGGTGATTTTGCAATTTGGTTTTGTCATTTCTTTTTCCTTTTTGGATTTTTCTGGTTCTGTAAGGGTGGATTACAATTGGAGTTATTGTCTTTTCATTTTATTGATGTGGTTTAGAAATATGTGAGTTTCTTTTATTGTTAACAAACACATTGCGACTGTGGTTTATATCTTGGTGCTTCTTAGAATGAAAGGCTTAGCAACTGAGTATTCGTTTACTTGGGGCTGGGTTTTTTTTTTTTTATTTTTTTTTTTTATCTTTTCTTTGGGGTAAATCAATGGGAATGGTATTGTAGGGTTCTCGAGAACCCTTTAGCTTGCGGAACCGGGAATCCCACCCAAAATCGATGAATACAAAGTTGATGAATACAACTAAAATTTGAGCACGAGAAATAAAGCAAACATAAAAAACACACCACAACAACACATGATTTTCGTGGTTCACCCTGTAGGGCTACATCCACGGTGTCGGCAACTAGAATTCCACTATCACAATGAAGATTACTGTTTTGGGTTACAAGAGATAATACCTATTGCTAAACATTGGTAAAAGATCATCATCGAACTTCCCTTCTAAACCCGCTCTCCAACACCGTCAATCAACATCCTCATTCTCACCGCAATACCACTACTGGAAAGATAACTTCGAGAGCAACATAGAGATATTCTCTCTCTAGAAGTGAAAATTAATCAACCCAAAACTTATGAGAATACCGCCCCTCTCTCAGAGGCTATGTCTCTCTCTCTTGAGACCCATCTGTACATTGGAGATCTATTCCCATAACCCCAAAGGGGTGACCCTCATAAGATGGGTATTATGTCCTCCTTCACTCTCTTCACTTTCTTGCTTCCCAAGAAAGCCAATTTTCTATTTGCCATAATACCCTAATATTTAGACGAAAATATGGGTATGGTGATTTAGTTATCACCAAGCCCAACAGCCTATACATTTTCATTAATGAAAAAAATAAAAATAAAAATAAAATGCATCACAGGATCTTAGGACCTTTTTGATGGTTAACATTTGTTAGTTTGTTACATCAGCGAAGGGTAATAACATAATGAAATAAGGATGTCGGGCCCTTCAGATCGTTGATTGGCTGACCTTGCACCATATTTAGTGTAGTGTGCTGGCGACCTGGTTTGCTTCTTAGAAAGTATGCTGGATAGACCATTCTATGTTACACAACATTGATAGACCATTCTATGTTACACAACATCCAACTCCTTGAGGAGGAGGAAGCCTTCCTGCTATAGAATGATTCAGGAACGTAGAGTCACTCTTTATGACTAGGTGGCTACAATCCAATTCTAAAGCCAGTTATCCTTTTTCCAAAGCCTTGAATTGTGTGGTATTGTTTGAATTGATGCCGATTGGCAAAGCAAAAGCAGAGAAATAGCAACCGCTGTGACCACAAATTGAGCCATCACATCGTGCTACCCCTGGATTACAAAAAGAAGCCCCATCTATATTCAATTCAAAAAATCCCTCTAGTGGAGAGACCCATTGAACATAACGAACCTTAGATGGTTTAACATGTTTGACTTGCTTCCAAGTCAACTTGAGGTTACTTGTGATAGCTTCCTCACTTGAAGAACTTCTAGATCTTTATGTCTGCTAAATCCTTAACAATTGCTAGGATCAGATGTAAATTACCTTCCCCTTGGACTCGCCTCAGTCTTCAAATATGTGATTCTTCTTTTCACGCCAAAGACATCATATGATAACCAGAAAGAAAGAAATTCAGACATGTGACATATTCTTCGATTTGCATATGTGTATTCTCCATTTCAAGAAGTCTGAAGGAGGTGTTGCCCCACTTGGAAGTATCTACAGCACTGTAAATGATATATTGCCAGAGTAACTAAGGCTATCTACGAGCAAGAAACAAATTATCAGCAGAAATCTCATTGTTATGTCAGAAAAATGTAGCAAGAAGTTAGCTGGGCCTCTTGAGACTTTAAAAGATGAAAACTGGGAAGCTCGGGCTGAAGGGCAAGCCAAGTGAACTCCTTTTCTCTTAGGTGAGTAGGAGCCTTCCAAACTTCATTTAAACCAGGACGAATAAATCCTCTCAAATGAATTATTTCCACACTTATTTGATCGTGAAATCTCCATCAAGTGCACTGACCCCAACAAGCTTATTCTAAAATGGCTCAGCAGGAAGTGGACAAGAATCTATTGCACTCCAGGCTGAATTAAACCTCTTGAAGTAGGAGTGGGCAGGACCCAAGCCTGAGTTGACTCGTGAATGAAAGCAGCCACTTTCAAAATGGGGGGGAGTCCCATGCTCTCTATGTAGCTCTAGACCATATATATCCAAACTCCAACCTTCTAGAAGCCAAGGATCCACCCAAAGATTTACTGGCTCCCATCCCATACTAGTACCCCTCCAAGCATGTGAACAGTTCTTCTGGATAACCTGCCACATAGAAGTATTGCGGTAGTATTTGTACTTTCTTTTCAATTTTCTTCCCTTCTCTGAAAAGATGATCGTTTTATTGTAATTTTGGGTTAATTCTAATCCTGACTGTATTAAGTAATGTTTCTTTTACTTCGGTGTATATTTGACTCAACTGTCAACTCCATGAACTGGAGCGACCTTTGGCCTTCAGTCAAATCCTGTCCAATTTATTTTTGTGGTCTTTGATCGAAATTGTTTCACCAAATGGTTGTTCTCATTTTGGAGCTTGCTTAAGTGGACAAACCACATCTCCCTTTTTTTTTTTGGGGGGGAGAATGGTTGACTATTTTTCATTATAGCTATGGCTATTATAATACAAAAACTCCTATAGGCAGCACACAAAGATTGGTGATCTACAACAAAATGGGAAGACTAGTAAAGAAAAATGAAACACAAAGAGCATTTGAATTGGTTGGTGTCATTAGTGTCAATTGATCAAATAGTAATTTTTTAATTCTGATAGCATTTGAATTAGTTGTTATCAAACCTTTGTTTAGTATTTAGGAATTCAACAGTTTTATACCCTTTAAGGGTTTTTATTTCTTTGTAATGCTTTTCGATAAATCTTAATGTTATATGAGTGCAGTTTGCATACGGATGCATCCGTAGTTGTAGAGGTAAGGTGCACCTTGCACCTTCAAATTTTATCATGGTATATAATTTTGATGTAAAGTGTTCTTAGGATTATCTCAAAATCTATTTTTATATCTAATTATAAAATTTTAAATTTAAAAAATTGTTAAAATCAAGTAGATCTATAAACATATGAAAATCTTGAAAATAGACAATGTAGATAATATGTTGTAAAATGCACTATTTCTGAGACTTAAATTTTTTTTGTTTTTCATAATCATACATCTCGATGTCGAGATGA